TTTTTTTTTTTTCTTTTTTCTTTTTTTTGGGGGGGGGGTTGGATGTTTGGGTGAAATTTTAAAAATGGTAAATTATAAATATATTTTTTGAAATTTGATTAAAATATTAATTGTCATATGTGATTTTAAAAATTACATTCTATCTTGAGATTTCTAATTTCATAATAAATCGTCATTTTTATTAATAAATCAATAAGTCAATTAATAATTTTTAATGATGTTAAAAATACGTTTCAATTAATAATTTTTAATGATGTTAAAAATATGTTTCAATTAATAATTTAAGTAATTTTATTATTGTATTGGAGGGCAATTAAGAATTTTATTTTTTAGTTAAAAATGTTAAATAAAAAAATTCTAGTAATGGGAAATTTGTAATTTTTCAAACCACAGAGGGCAATCTGTACTTTAAGCAAACCTCAGGGGGTGTATTTGTAATTTATCCTTTTAAAAATGAAGTCTTTATACATTTAAAAAAAAGGGTAAATTATGTAAATGGTCCATGTAATTTATATGATGTATCAATTTGGTTCTTATTATTTTAATTTGCTCAATCTTGCCATTTAGTTTAACGAATTATGTCAATTTGGTCCCTTTCAAAATTGAGCAAATTAAAATAATATGGATCAAATTGATATATCGTGTAAGCTACAAGGACCAAATTGACAAATCGTTTCAGCACATAACAATTTTCCATCCACAAAACCTAACGGTTGTTATTTATAGGACCAATAGGATACAATTTGTTAAATTAAGGAGCAAAATCTAGCAAATTAAAACAATAGGAACTAAATTGATACATCGCGTAAACTACAGACCATTTACATAATTTACCCTTTAAAAAAAATTATTAGGAATTTTTTTTAAGCATTTATATCTCAATTAGTCTCAATCAGTCCATAATATATTTTTGTATTTCAATAAGTCATATTATTTGAATATTTGATCTACCAAATCTAATTATCATAGTTAAGTATTTTATGGATATTTTTACCCTTATAAATATTTTTTTAACGCTTAACAACTTAATAATGTGAACATTCATTTTATTTTATTTTTGGAGGGGTTGAACATTCATATTTGACAATATAAATATTCACATTGACGTGTACATGTTCACATTGACGTGTAAATATTCATATTGACAATGTGAATGTTCACATCACGAAACATTCATTATCAATGTGAATATTATTATTAGAGATATTTTGATAACTATATTACTCATAGGACTTATTGGTACATAAGAAAATAATTTGAACCAAGTGAAACATAAGTATGTGAAGAGAAATTTGTGAATAAATGTCCCAAAAAAAAAAAAAAATTCCTTTTTTTTTCTTCTAAACTTGTACCTATACAAAATTTTCTTGCTTATACAAAAACTAAAATTATTATTATTTTTTTTATCTGTGCTATGCAAGCAAATTATTCATAACTTTATTACATAGTGCCATAATACATATCACAAATATTCATAATTTTATTTAAAAAAAATTGAATTTTTTTTTAAACGATGTACACCTTTTTTTAAGTGCACGTTGTAAATTTTTCCTTGATGATTATAAAAAATCATGGATCACTAATGTTTTTTCTTACCAAAACTTATTTTTGTAGCGAAATTTAGAACATCTCCAAAAATGATAATGAAAAAAGTTTTCCAAAATTCACAATTTTTTTTCTTTTTTCCTTCTAATAGCTAATTACTTTGGGTTAATTGGTGAAAACTCTATTCCTATATGTCACCTGTCATTTAGTCCAAACTTTATTATTTTCTCATGATAAGGACACACATTGAAAAATCATTGCAAAAGTTGCTGAAAAATTAGCCAAAAAAATCACCGGCAGGCGACAATTGATTGTGAGGCCAATGGTAGTTGATAGTAACAACTAGTGGCAGTAGCTAATGGCAATGACTTGGACAGATATGTGAATAGATTGGCAAGACATGCACACATTTGAACAGATAGTTAGACAAATAGATGACACATGCACAGATAAATAGGTGCATTTGAACAAATAATCAACATTTGAGCAGATAGACAGATGGTTAAGCTTTTGAACAGATAGTTAAACTTTTCAACAAATAGCATGTCTTTTTAAACAAAAATCAGTGTGTCTTGTTTCAATTTTCTGGAAATTAAGTTTTTTTTTTTATTTTTCGTGTTTTTTTTAGTGAATATTTTAAAAATTTTAAGCAATTTTTTTTTTTTTTTTACTTTTTTAGATACATCTTACTTAGATATATCTAAAAAATAAAATATTTGTAAAAAAAATCAATAAATACACAAGAATAGAAAAATATACTGAATTTTAGTTTGTTTTTTTTTATTTTTTTTATTTTTGGTATTTAGTGAATTTTCCGAAGTTTTTTTTCACAAATATTATACTTTTAAAGTGTATTTATGTTAGGTGTATCTAAAAATTTTAAAAATTGCTTAGAATATTAAAAAAAATTAGTGAAAACAAAAAAACATGGAAAATAAAAAAAAAAATTAATTTTTTGAAAAGTGAATCTTGAAAATCCAAACCAAACAAGCTGAAACATTAGATGAGACTATTGTCGATTTTTTTTTTTTTTACAAAAATATTAGAGATTTCAAGAGTTCTACTAATTTTTTTACTAAATGACTCGTGGAATTTACGTGTTATTTTTTTAAAAAGAATATTTAATGGTGTAATGTGTGTTATAAAAAAAAATTTAATTAAAATTAAAATTAAAGTATGATTTTAATTATTTATTTTGATAATATTGACGCTATCGTTTCATAAAATTGTTACTTGAATATTTATATATGTTACTTTTAGTTAAATTATTTGTGTATTTTGACAATTTTAGTTCTATTATGTTATAAAAATGTAATTATTATATAATAATTTTGTATGATATATATATTAAATTATAAAATAGTAAAATAAATACTCATTTTATATATATATATATATATATATATGTGTGTGTGTGTGCTTGATTAAGGAAGACAAAAGGTGGGGTTTGGACAGCTAGGGGGATGGACCAGTTGACTGGGAATTAGGCAGTCTAGGAGGACCAAAAGTCTTCGAGTCAAAGCAGGCACGCAGTCTATGAATATTAAGCAAGCATTCTTATGACCAAAATTATGCAACTTGATTCTAAAATAAAATTCAAGTGGTATTTGGTAACCCAATTTGAATTGTTCAAACGTTGGATATACAAAAATTGGCTCGAAGTTATGAAATATATATTGAAAGTCTAGATTCGAAGGAAGGCATTTAAATTTGACATTCATTTCTTGTTAAAAAGATTTTTAGAACTTTTATAAAAAAATAATAATAATAAAAATTGTATTTAAATAGGAACAACTCAAAATGATTCTACTTTAATAGACAGTTGTGCCTTGGAACATCACTTTTATTTGCATTGAACACACACTCGCTTCTATCTCCATAAAAAAATTATTATTTTGATTTGTTCTTACTTAAATATAAGTTTTCTACTCTTTATGCACCGAATAAAATAAAAAAAAGATTAGTATATCTTTTTAAAATTTATAAAAATTTGGTCAAATATATATATATGAAATTCAAAATTTTTAAATTTGAAGTTGCAGGAAGAAATTCGAGATAACTCAAATTCAAAACAAATACTGCATTAATTGAAGCCATAAACCCTTTCCAACGTTCTTTTCAAAAAAAAAAAAAAAAAAAAAGCCCTTCCAAGGTTTAAACCTAAATGTTTTTCTGCCTTTTTCTTTTTAATGTAAGGAAGCCAGTGGTTTTAAGTAAAGGTCAACGTGTCATGTTTGAGTCCTGTGATTTTGAGTTTGTATTAGAATTGCTTTAACATTATACAAATCAGTTTATTATGTCATATTACGGTGTCATGTCATTTTTAATATGTGTTCAATTCTTGTTATATTCACTTGTCATGTGAATTTTTTTGTATTAAAAAATTAATTTTTTTTTTATAAGTTAAATTTAATGAAACTAATCTTTACTGAACTTTCGTTTAGGATGTGGGTTAGCTTTTTGACTTTTTGACTATTTTAGCCTGACGTTAAAAAATCTCGTTTGGGATGGGCTTTTGACTTTTTTGACTTTTGTGAGAGAAAATATAAAATGATTATTGTTTGGATGCGACATTTTCACTTATCGACTTTTTAATATATTTTGTCCTTTCGTAGTTAAAATAGCCCAAAAAAAAGTTCATGCCAAACATAGCCTGAATGAAATTATTCATATGAATATTTAATTTTAACTCAATTTTATTTTCCTAATTTACAAAACTATATCATATTATTATATATATATTTTTTAGTATATTAACTCTAAAGTATTAGAAAAATACATTATCATTAATTTTTTTTTTTACATCTATATTAGCCTTGAAATCTTTTTTTACATACTTTTTAATGGATTGGATAAAATTAAATAAGGGATTCAAATATGTCATGGCACACCTCAGTATAAATAATATTAAAATATGAAAAAATTACTACATAGTCCTATGTAGGAGATCTATTTCCCTAATAGTCCCACTTTATTTTTGATAAACCAATAAGTCCACAGTTTTGTAAGTTTTGTACCCAGAGGTCCTGTTTTTATATTCTTATTTTGGTAAATGACTGTATTTCCCCTTTGATTTGAGATATATATACATGGAAAATCAAATTTTAGATAGGAAACTGTGATCTGGCCTCTGCGAGGTCGATTTTGTCTCTGATCTCGATCTCTCTCTGTGACCTCGATCTATTTATGCGATCTCAATCTTTCTGTGCAATCTTGATCTCTGTGTGTGTTTTGTGATCTCTCTATGTTTGTGGATCTATGTGGTGCGTGATCTCTGTGTTTGCGCAATCTCTATGTACGCTCTCTCTCTCTCTCTCTCTCACTCTCTCTCTCTTGATACATATATGTATATATATATATATATATATAGATAAGCAAATTTGTGATTTTTATATGTGATATAGTGTAATGATTTGGATTTTTTTGATTTTATTTGTTGTATAGTGTAATGTGTTTTGAATTTGTAGTTTGAAATTGTGAATTCTGAAGTTTTGATTCTGATATGTTGTAACTGTATAATTTTGCAGTTTGGACTCTGTGATCAATTGTTTACTGGTTTGTTGTTTGTAATATGGAGGGTGGTTTTATGTTAATGTGCAAATATAATAAGTCTTGTGCTGCTATTAAGATTAGTAAGAGATGTAATTATGATAAAGTTGTTGAGAAAATATGTGCAAAGTTCAAGGAGTTGAGTGTTGCTAACTTTTGTTTGTTTTTCTCTATTCTTGAATATTCTACTTGTATTGTTGAAAGTAGTGATCATTTGGGGAATATGCTGTCAATGGTAGCTTCTAGTGGTTCTGATGTTGTTGATGTTGTTGTGGGTGATACGAGAATTGTGGAAGTTGATGATAATTCTTCTAGGATTGATTCTGTAGTTTGTGAGAGTTCTTTCATTAACGATTGTAATGATTTTGGTGATTTGTTGCCTAGTTTTTATCCAGAACAAGAGAGAGTTTTGTTGTCTGCTAATTAGAAGAAAATTATACACAGTGTTGGTCAAGAACTTGATGGTGGAGTGCTGGCATTCCGGATTGCATTGGCTAGGTATGCAGTTGAGTGTGACTTTGCAGTGAATTATTTGAAGAATGATGCAACAAGAGTAAATTGTTGATTGTATGATGAAGTCGTCTACGGGTTGTAAGTGGTTTGTGCATGGAAGGATGTGTTGGAACAATCTTCTATGTAAAATAAATAACTTGAAACAAATCAAACAAATAAAAATAAATTACTTACCGAATTTATTTTATCGTTATGAATAAGTACAAAAAGAGATCAAGTCGAGTGTGTGACACTATGTCTTTAAGACAAATTTTTCCTGCTTCGGTGCTTACGGATTAATGGCGTCTATATCTCATGATACAATGATCTTTACACAAATTTTAGTAGCACTCCAAACAATTTGTACGGCGAACAAAACCTTCATCCACAGGCATTCATGCAGTTAATCAATTAAGCAATTAGCCTCATGGCAAGCATGCTATCATGGCAGTCACTTATACTCATGCAAGTATGCTAAAGCATAAACACTTACAGTGTACTCCAAGCCAAAACAAAAGCCAGTTAGAAATCATGCATGATCCTAACCATACAAGATGCCTAATGCAACGCATGCAAAAATGCAACTAAAATAGGCTCGGCTATCTAAGATGGCATATGAATGCTACACTTGATACATGTATTCAAATAGGAATTGAAATACAATGCAGTTTGAGTGATGCGCCGAGCCCCGTGCATGCAATACGAATGAATGACGCACGCATGCAAAGCATAAGTATGCTAATTGAAACATGCCCTAAAACTAACCATCAAAAGCTGGTAAATAAAAGGGAGAAAGATGTGGGGTTAGAAGACATTCACACACTCACGCACACTCATTACAACATTGTTCCCTCTCGACGGAGGGTCCGAATGAATTTAGCTAACTAGCTATGCTAATTAAACTAATTATTACAAACCAATTAACTATGCTAAGCTAATTAATTATTACAAAACTTTGACTAATCAATCAAATTAAAATTAAGTTACAAAGCCAACTATAGTAGGAAAAGCATCTAAATTAGGCTACTACAGCTCTGCCTTGAACAATGAAGGATGCATGCTTGGTTTTCGCCCCGAAAAACTCTTTGGTTTGCTCTTTAGAGGCTCTGTTTGCAGGGTTTCTCCAAGAACTTGCTGCTGAAGCTTACCAAATCATTGTTGGGGAATGCACCAGTGGCCTGCCGACCATGAATAGTGATTGCCGATCCTCCTGCCGGCCACGGATAAAGAGGTGCCGACCATCGATAAGGCACTGCTGGCCACTGATGTACTGAAACTTCATTCTACAACAAAGCTCAAAACAGAGGAATGTGAGGGTCTCCCTAAGACATGTCTGTGCTATGCCACTCCATATCACTTCAAAACATCAATGGAGGGGCATCATTGGATCCAAGACCATCAATTAAGCATACAATTCATGATGGCCAAAGATCCAACTTGCATACATTTCAATGAATGCAATTCAAACAAGACTCTAAATCTACTACCTCATCATGGATGATCAAAGGCAATAGAGACCAAGGAAGATTGGCTCACTTTTATCACTTTGAGTATGAAGTGGACCAATCAACCTTGTGTTCAATATAACGTCCGGTTGAACACAATGCAATGCAAACAACATATGTAATGCATGCTCAAATGCCAAATACATTAAGCTAATAAAGAGCATCACTCAAGAGGCATGCATTATCAATCTCAAATGAATAAACCAGCCATGGACAGACCTCATGCATGCCAAAACATGGCCTAAGCATGTTGGAATGGAAGCTCAAAATACTAGAAGAACAAGCACACATGTTGGCCTATGAGCAAGGCATGATACATAAGCCTCAAAAGCTATGAAGAAGTGAAGTATATGAGAGTGTGACTACACTATATGCACTGAAATTACTTGCTAAATGATGCCATACCATGCAAACATCACATGCATAACATGTTAAAGGCTTCAAAACCCAAAGCTAGGCAAGGCCCTTTACACTACAACCATACTAAGCAATGCTCAAATGACCCTAACCATTCAAAACAGATCTAAGGCAGGTCAAAATAGTGGCAAAAACATGCTAGACTTGTAGCATAGATGGCAAGAAAAATAAGCTCATGTATTGGCTCACCAACAAGGCATAATGCTCAACTTCTTAAAAGCATTGAAAGAGTGATAAACATGAGAGTATGACAGTGAAACATGCTCTGAAATCATATATCAAATGATGCTATATCACACAAATGTCACAAATAAGGCATGCTAGAGGTCTCAAAACACAAGACTAGCAAAGCCATTTGCACTATAGCCTTACAAGGCAAGCCATACATGACCAAGACCACTTAAAACAGACCTCAAGCATGTTAAATCAGTGGAAAAAATGTGCTGGAGCAAAGCTAACACATGCTAGAATAATGAACAAAAGCATGAAGCATGTTAGGCCAACAAGCATGATTGCACTACAAGTATGAAAAGCATGCAAGAGGTGACGAAATCAGCCAAAAATAGAGTTATGGCATGGCAAATAATGGCTAAAAACATGCTTGAACTAAGAAAATTCAAGGCACAAAGACATGCTACTTTGCAAGGCTGCAAGTACGATTACACTACAAGTACAAGAAGCATGCAAGAGGTGACCAAACCAGCCCAAAACAAAGTTATGGCAGGTCTAAAAATTCACAAAAAAGTGCTTGAACAAAGCCATAAAGAAGTAGAAACACATGCTCATTTGGTGAAATTCCTCTGAAATTCAGTGATTTTAAGGCCAAAACAAGATGATTTCAAAGGCTTTAAAAGAAGGCAAGAAACTTAGCAAATAAGCCACCAAAGAGGGTGAAACGCCCTTAACTCCAAAAACACTTTAAACTACCATTTTTAACACTTAAAAACAAAGGTTTTTGTAGTTGAAAGCTAGGCCAAAATCAGTAGGCAAAGGTGGCCAAGATTGTGTACAAAAATAAGCTTAAAGAGGGAAAACACTCACCCTTGAAGCACAACACAAGAACAACCACTTTTTTTGAGCCAAAACCACCTTTTGGAGCTCAAACCAAGTCCCAAGCTACCTCATCCCAAAGATGATCCACTCTTGTTCAGGGTTGATAGGTTGAAGATGGATGTATGCAAGCCTTCAAGCACAAAATCCTTAGAGAGAGTGAAATCTAGAGAGGGTTTCTAGAGAGAGAGGCTCCCAAATCTTTTGCCAAATTGTTCTCCAATGTTCTCACTCTTGAATATGAGATATAAGGCTTCAATATATAGCAAAACAAGAGGCTTTGGTCAAAAATATCTCAACAGAGACAGCTGGAACAAGCTGGAGCAAAATATTTGTCCAAAACTGCTTTCTGCCTTCTGTGGCCGGCACTGTACCACTGTTGGCTGGCACTTTACCATTGTTGGCCGGCAGCACACTCCCTTGGACGGCAGGGGGCTGGAATTGGCCATTCATGGCCGGCACATGGCCCAAAAATCCCATTCATGGTCATAAACTTCCACCTCTGGTTGGACAGAAAAATCTCCTTTTTGGGCCCGACTTCAACCGGACATATCTCCTTCATCTGGACTCCTTTTTAGGTCATTCTTGAGCCTAAATTGTAGCCCTGGAAGTATTCTTTCCAATGGTGGCAGCCTCACTTCAAAATTCCAAGTGTGAAAAAAGTTATTCCTATTTGAGTGAAAACTACTCAGTTTTGATCCTGCCGGGATTCATGCCCAACTACTTCTCCAACTTGTTTTCTTCTCTCCTCTCCTCTTTTCTTCAACTCCAAACCCCTAAACAAGGTGTTTTGAAAGATTTTTCAAAAGAGTTCATCTCTCCTTCATTCATTTCCATTTTGTCCTTGCTCGGTTTACCGAAAAGCGCGACATTTAACAAAATGCGAGCGTTGGAACATCGCAGGAGAATTTTCAAAAATATTTTGAAAGAGAGGGTTTCAAGGTCTCAAAATCTTTTGATCAAGATTGTTTTAGTCCAAAAGGGGTATGAAGTTGGGATTTGACTCTCTCTTTGCTGAAGAAATCGAACCCTTGCACTGCACAACTTTCACCACCAAGTAAACCATCAGTGGCGCCCAAGTCTTCAGGGCGGTAAAAAATGGGGTGTCTATACTTATCCAAGTTAATGCTGATGGTCAAATTGTCTGCTTCTAACAAGTACACGCGTGTAAAGGAATAAGAGAACATAATGGTCTTACCCCAAGACAATGAGAATAATGCGCATTACGTAGATAAGAGGGATATCTGCTTGTATAAAAGCCATGAACCTCATAGTGGAAGGTATGCAATCTTGAATACCGAAAATACTCTCTCATTCTCCCAGATTCTCAGAGAGTACTAACTAGACCGTTGGAGGGGTTTTCCGGCAAGATACCTGCCGATTAGCTCACCTCTGTTGTGTTCGCAGGAGAGATGACACCATTAAAGTGAAAAGAACACGGAGGCAAGGAGTATGGAAGTAAACAATATTTACTCCTCGTACACTATTAATTGTCAATCCAACCCAGCCCGATATTTGCCTACCCTTATTTCTTACGCTTTGTTGGTTGAGTTTTTTTTTTTTCAAAAATAATTAGATGATTTTTTTAAAAAAAAAGAAGAAGAAGAAGAAGAAGAAAAAGAAGAAACTCGTTCTTTTAAAATGATTTTTAAATTTTTGAAAGGAAATAATTTTGAAAAAAGTAAAAATATCTTTTATAGTGTTTAGTTTTTTCAAAATAATTTCTAATTTAAAAAAAAAAATTAAGAAAACAAGTTCATGACCAAATTTCAAAATATGAAATCTTCCAAAAACCAAAATGCTTCTTCTCATTTAAACAAAGTGTCAAAAAAATTCAATAATATTAAAGATCTTAACAAATGTACTAACAAATATATCAGTTAAATATGATG